TTCCAAGCCCATGGATAAAGGAGCTCTTTTCTGAGAATGAGAGGGCACTGCCCCTTCCTGGGCACTTCTCCACAGGGTGGAACCAAGCCAGGAGCATGTGGAGGGGCACAGGCAGAGAGAACTGTTCAGAGCAGAGTTCCTGCCCCCAGGCTGGGATGGGGGACCGCGGGGAGGGCAGGGGGGAGGGCAGGGGGACATGGTTGGTGTCCCCTCCGAGGGTGTCTCCTCCGAGGACAGCCCAGCACCTCCCCGCTGGACCATTCTGGGACCAGGTTCAGCACACAGGAACATGCCCAGGCCCTGGCAGAGCCTCAGCACCTCAGACTTCCACCAGCACCAGCCTGGACCCCGTGGGCACGGCCCCAGGGTCCCCACGGCTGCACTGGGGGCAGCTGGTCACTGACGGGCAGGAAGAGAACTGAAGCACACTGTGGTTTGACTTGAAAACATTCTATTTAATTTATACAAATAACTACTAAATAGAAAAAGTAGATTAAAACAAAATAGTTATTTTTCTGGCAGAGTTTAAATGCATATTATATAGCTTAGAAGAAATAAAATGCATTTTCCCCACGGCATTCATGACCTAAAATTCTAGTTAACTCCTCCGTTGCTTTCCTTTCCCAGATCAGTAAGATGCCAGACGCAAGGTCCTGTGGGAAATGGCTATATATACGTTCCATATTCCAACTGAAAATATGGTACAGACCACACACCTACAAATGTGAAGCACTTAAAATGTGACTATCGAGTTGTAATATGATAATACATAAAACAATTCATGTTTCAGGTTATATCGTGTTACAAAAACGTCTGTGTAAGAAATCATGAAAGAGGCCACATAAAAATAAGCTTTAACTTTATGCACTTATTTTACAGTTTAAAAAACTGGCAAGTGCACTAGTAATAAATAATTTGCAAGTTTTGGATAAACGAGAAATTCCTAATGTTCAGCATTATTGTAAACATCAGTACACATGTAAAATGCAGCTAAAGTCTGACAGTTACATTTTCAGTTTACCGAATTCTTTTCCTATTACTCAGGTATAGATCAATGCAGGATACAGCCAATCGTATTTTTGGCAAGTCATGTCATTAAAATTAACAGTGACAGTGCAAGTAAGGAATGCAAAGAATTCCTAGTGCAATAAAGAAGAGAAGCACAGGCAATATTGCTGATTAAAATTTACCACTTCCATGTATTCACCCTGGGAGTGATTAGGAGAATTAAAATAAAATTAAAAAAAAATTTAAAAAAGGAGGGGAAAAAAAAAAGGGAAAAAAAGAAAAAAACAAAAAGAAAAAAGCCGTTCAAAGCCATTGTTTAATGCCCTGATCTTGTCTTAGGATTTCTCTGTCTTCCTTCAGGCCACTACCTCAGCAACAGCACATCCAGCTGAGTCCTCAGCGCTCGCCCAGGTGTGGGTGCAGTCGTGGTCCGAGCAGTCCAGGGGTCCCAGTGTTCCCACAGCTGCTCCCCAGAACTCCCGCTCCGAGCAGCCCCGTGGGCACCAGGGCTGCCAACGGCCTGGCCAGAGCCCTCAGGGCCAGCCCAGTGCCTTCCTGGCGGGAGAGCACCACGAGCAGAGGGTCAACAGTCAGCTTTCAGTTTGTCTAAGGAATTGTCAATTTTGGTCAAAGTCTTTTTGATGCGCAGGGCTGTCAGTCTGGCGGACGGGTTCTGGTACCAGCACTCCTTCATCAGCTTGGCGAGGGACGTTAACGTCTGGGAACGGACAGAAACCACACAACACCAGGGTAAGGCCACAGGGAACAGGCCAAGGAAGCACTGGAAGCATTCACGGAGGATTTATTGCCTAATTAACACTCCATTGGCAGAGTTTCCTGCTACCTACCAAACGCAGAGCTTCTGGGTGTTCAGAAGCCCTCAAAGTCTGATAACTTGGTTAAACCAAGAGCACAACTGGAGTGATCAGCCAGGGTAACTTTCAACAGTGGAGTTTCACAGTTTCTTTCCTAATTAAGAAAACACTCCACAGAACCTCTTTTCAATGGAACCAAGTGCTGCAGACCCACAAAGGCAGATGAGAAGGTGCAGATTTTCTGCCCATGATTCCATCATGCCCAGTACAGGTTTAACTGGCCCGACTCCCAGTTGGCTACTGGGACAGCACAGGGCACAGCTCCACACCCAAACTTTGGAGATGGGCCCTCTGCCCTGGCCAGCCCTGTGGATTCACACTGACCTCCATGGCTTCAGTGGTAAGGACAGCTGGGCAGACTGCAGAGGCCAGTCCGAAAAATAAACTTCAGCACCAGCCTTGCAAAAAGAACAACAGCCCCTTATTCTGTAGGCAGGAGAAACCAGCATTCTGTTCTAAATCTGTGTGCCTGTAAGCCACACAAAGTCCTGGACTGGCTTCCCTCCCCTTGATTTCCCCTCGAAGGGAGAACAATGACCCAGGAAGAGCAGCTGTAAGAGTTATTGCTAAACCCTGCTCCTGAGCTCCTGTGACTGGCTCTGCCCTGGCACTCCTCAGTTTGCTCAGTGCTCCCCCAAGGCCAGGCCATTCCACCTCCAACCCCTGCACAGGTGATGCTGCTGACAAGGCCCCTCGAGATCACTTCCATTGCAAGGCACAACTGAAGATAACCTCTGTGACTCTGCCCAAGAACAAAGGTCAGCACGTGCCTGCAGCCAGCCCCCCAGCACCCACTGACCGGGTCTGAGAACCATCTGTTGGGAATGTTGGGCCTCTGCTGATCCACACAGACCACTTTCCTCATGTCTTCAAAACTGGGATCGTTCGGAACCAAGTCATAAAAGGGTGGTTTGTAGTCTTCCACAATACCTGGTGAGACACAAACAGGCATTACTGAATGGCTTGTCAGTGAACAGCATTCTCACAGGGATGGAGGGAACACAGGACCCATGTGCTCTAAGAGGCACACAAATCCTTTAGAAGTCAATCCCACAGTGTCACACAGCCACTGAACAACAGAAGAGCACTTACTGCCACAGGAACAGCTTTTTCTACCCAAAATGTTAATTAATTGGCTCATATGACAAGTCCACAAAGTAAGAGCTATACCCACTTTGCAGATGCTGGAGCTGAAAGGATGAGAAGTAAATCCCTTGCCAAACGGTCATATTTTATAACACAAAGAGCTTTCCTGCCTATCACAAACTGGGATTTCTACCAGCAAGTGGAAAAATGTAAGGTCTGCACTGTGGTTTTTACCAGCCTCACCACATACTTTGATGCTTTTGTGATTCCTGGAAGGGTTCAATAAGGATGTTGGCATCCACAGACTCTCGAGCTGGTGCTTCAAATAATTTCATTTCTAGTTATGAAAACAGTAAAATCCCCAGGGTAACTGGTACCACATGCCATCACAAAGCCAAACACCCAAGAGCCTGTGACAGCCAGGGGCTGAATGCATCTTCACAGAATCAT